TCGAAGTGCTCCGCCCAGCGTGTAAGACGTCGCTGTTGATTGTGAATGGGCGAATCGTCAGCTTCGCAGATCGATTCCCTCACACCCAAGGCTTTCCTACCGGTGACCCGGATGAGATCGAACAGATTACGGATCTCCACAAGACAAAAAATAAAAGACCTTTTAGAGTTTCGGGCTTGGATTAGCCCATTTGATTGTTCAGAGGCATCAGGCACTCTTGATGATTCTCGGTGTGGGTTTAACTCCTTGGGAGATCGTTAATTCCCCACTGTTTGTATGCATTTAAATGCGAGAGAACCATCAAGAGTGCCTGATGCCTCTGAACAATCGAATAGGCTAATCCAAGCTTGATACTCTAAATTGATTGAGCCATTCGCACAAGGTGATAACCGTCGGCCATGTAGCTCAGGGATAAGGGTTTGAAGTCCCGACCCGACTGATCGCGGTTTGAGTCCTGACAGGGACACAAAAAGTACGCACTGCTGACGAGTCCGAAACATGACGAAACAGCTGTCCAGTGCTCTTTGTTGGTTATCACAAACATAAAGGACTTATCTCAATTGTACAAGATCTCGTGTAAGAAGCCGCTTCTTGTTCGTTTCTTATTCCCACTTCAACAGTTTTTGTCCTATTGGTAGTTGATTTCTCAATTTGTCTATCATCCGGTTTTCTTCCTCTCCTCCACTCATCACTTTCATTAGGCTTCACGAGGAATAAAATTACTCACTATTTTTCTCGCACTGGGATGTCCAGATCGAATCCGATTCGAGTACTCATTCGTGGTGACTGATGAGAAAGGCAATCCCTCTGCCAGAACGTCGAATGAGCCGGTGGATCAATCAAATGTTATAACCTGTCCAGTGAATGATCCAGACGGACAAGGAATCAGCAACGGATTGCGTCGTCTGCTTCACTTAAACGCAAGCGACTACCTGCTCCATCGAGAATGGGCTGTGAGTTCTTTCGTTTCAATTTTTTCTCAAACCTTTTTGAAATTGCTTTCTTGATTTGAGGCTGTCTAGTTCACACTCGAAAACCGCTTTGACACAATAAGGTTTCATATATCATAGCCGTTACCTTCTACCGCGTATATAAAACTGTGGTTTTTGTGGCAATCTAAAAGTATGTGCAACCAACATGCATCTGAAAGCAATTTTTTAATGCTTCACACTGTGGTTTACTTGAAAAATTATATATTATATATATACCCGGATGAAATTCTAGACGAAGCACACATTTAGAATGCTGTAGTTGAATTATTTCAGTAACTAGACCCGCCGTGTTTCGAATGTACCTTACCATTTTTGAGATTTCCTGTATGCCCAAATGTCACACGCATTTGTGCAATAGCTAGCAACCTTAACTATAGCTAAAATTTGTCTTCTATTCCATAAAAAAACAGTTGCATCACAAATGAACTGACCAATAAAATGCTTTTAATGGCTGTTCCGTCTTCGTTGAAAATCGTCGGCAATGCGTGCATTTTGCCATTCTGTCGTGACTCCAATCACGATGATGACCTAATTTATTGTGTGTAACAATATTTCACTGTTTCAGGCTACACTGGAGAGTATTTTCAAGCTGATTCTGTCAATAATGGACTAATATAGGGCTTATTTTAACAACTTATTATTTTCAACCTCCCAGTCTAGTCACACAAATAGCTAATTTGCCCAATGTGTTTGGACTTACTGTTGTATATCTTATAAACATTTGACTTCTGGGATTCGCATTTAATTTGTCAGAGTGCTCCTGTTACCTTGCAATTAACGATTCAAGCATTCTTTAGAGTTATATAAAACTTTAGTTGGGATTGATTATTCGGACGAACACGTCAAAAAATACATGAATGTTGTTTTCAGGCCCATCGTTAATTTCACGTAATCAATTCCATGTCGTGCGGATATGATTGGTGCATCGATGTAAGCAGACAGTCCCGGTAAATGTTTACCGTCGAAGCTTGCACACGGAACCCGTAAATTCACTATTTTTCTATCTGCATTTTAGGGTGGTAAAGGATGCCTGAACAGATGTGAATAGTTGACAATGGATTGTACGAATTACACATTAAGTGTGTGCAAAAGTCACTCCATGAGTCAGGATATACTCAGCGCCGTGTGTTATGCCATTTAGGTGGTAGTTACATGGGTATAGTGGTGCCTATCTCCATCTGCGACGTGAAAGATGAAGTCTGATTGCCAGGAATGAATGCAGCCTTTGCGGAGACAGCTCATAGATAGAGTAGTTAGCAGTAGATTGTGATGCCCCTGTTCCAAATACTTTCGTTTATTCACTTTGCTTTGTGATTATAGAAGAGGGGGAGATAGCAATAGATCTTGGAGGTTGAATTTTGAAATAGATTAGGATAAAGTTAGAATCACATTTTTTCTATGGTTTGCAAAAAGCACCAACCATCATACACCGTTGCAGATAAATTATTCTTACGCGCATGCTGAATCGAGCCATCTCAGTAAATATGGTGGGAACAATACCGGTGGTCATCTTTAATATTCTTGGTTACTTTTTGCATATGTTCGGCACACATGTGCATTTGTGGTCTGCCAACCCACAGGCCATTTATCAACTGCCATCAGGCCGTTTTCATAACATAACCTTCAATTTTCTTCTTTTTTTAGTTTCGCCAAAGCGTTTTGAACACACCTGCAATCGCTCCAATCCAGCCCAAATCAGCTCAGTCGCAGAATGCCGCTGCAAATCAACGTGCATCAGCCTTATCCTCGACATCCAGTGCAAACTCTACCGGTCTCCGGGCCACTGATCCAGGATCGACTGTCGCTCGAGCGCGTCCCGTAGCGATGATCAGTGCATCAACTGTGACAACTACGACCCCAACCACGGTCACACAGTCGCGCCCGAGCGCTACGGTTGCCGCTACAGTCAACACGACTTCAGTCACAACTACTCCCACCCTGTTACCCACTGGTTCACCCAGTACAGCCAATACGAGCACACCTGCCTCCTTTATCACACCAATTACTGTTCAGTCTAACGCTCCTAATCTGCCAGTTCATCCCTTTCTTGCTCCAATCACTGCCTTGCCCGCGTCGGTACTACGACCAGCCAGTGACGGCGTGCAACTTGTGGTCGCCGATTCGTTTAGTGTGGCCAACTCAAAAACCACAACTCCCTCCGTTATCAGCTCCACATCTACATCCGCCAACGCTCCGCCTTCCGCAGGCGCCGCAGTCAATTCTCAGACGTGTGTAATCAGTTCGTCAAACCACACTACGCCAGTAATCACGGCTGTCCAAAGCACTGCTCCTAATTTGATTATGCTACCGAAGACCGCCAACTCTAAAGTAAGTTTTTTCTTGAGTGTTGCTTCTCGTTCCATTCTCTCTCAAGTAGGGCATGAATTCCATTTAATGTATCGAGTCAAGTTAAAATAAGCTTTTGGATGAAGAGTCTGTCCTGCAAATTAAGTGTCAGCTGAAAACCCAACCAGAACGAAACAGCTGTCCAATGCTTCCTAGCTTTTCAGCTCACGCCTCATTTACACGACCAATTCATCATCTGATCAAATCAAATCCTCCTTTCCTCCCATAGAAAATTAGCTTTTTGCACCCGAAGGGTAATTTTTCAACGATTTTCACGGGAATACAGTGAAGACAGAAAAAACAGAAACACGCGAAGGATTGTGGTGGGAGAAAATAAAACGATAACACATTGCGGGCAACAAGACCTGCCATAATTAGCGCGCGGTTCACTAAAAAATGGGCAAGATTAAAGATGATGTTGTTTCTGTATGTGGTAGTGCGTGCAGAAAGGAGCCTTAATGGGTGCGGGTACGGGAGTTTGATACGGATTAAAGAAGTTCTTTATGCAAACAATAATCATCATTGTCTAAGATTCTGTTTGCATGCATTGCATGCTTACATACAATTAAATCCACCAGGACATTTATGGCTATAACACTACATCAGGAACGAAGTTTATGGATCTATAAATTAATATGATTTTTTTCTTTCAAGCTAAGAAGAAAACCGGGGAACAATACAGCCAATGAAAGTGGATACATGGGACGACAAACTAAAAAATCTCATTTGATGAAGAAACAGCAAGCTTCTTAAGCCTGAAAGTATACGGAGCAAGTTTACTACCCGCATTCTAAATATGCTCTACATGTCTGATCCAGGAGAGGTCGTTTTGTTTGAGGTATTTAACAGAGTCAGCTTTGGGAATACTGTGACCGTTGTGACGAATTTAGCAACTCATTAAAAATAACATAATAACTGGCGCCGGATTGAGGATAATTTTTATTGTTTACTAGAAGATTCACCATATTGAAATCGATTACTGTTGGTATATATTCCATTTGATTTTACCAGGGACACTTGGCAGTTGTTGAACGCCGGCTAGATATCCCGCAAAGCGCATTACGACCTCGCGCCCGAATGCCGTTTACCTCAAGGCCATCGCTTGCATCGCTACCGCCGCTCCAACGAGCTACTCCTCTGCCGAAGGTTCCCATTTCGAAATATGTAAGTCCCACTCCTCGGCCTGTTGCCGTACAACCTCAGTCCACTCGTCTTGGTATTTCGAATCCATCGGCTGGTAACTCACTAGAACCGAAACAGTCTTCACTGAGTGCAGTGAAGGCATTCAACTCGAAACGGCGACGAACAACGTCAGTGCGTGGTCCTCGCCGTGGAGGAGGTGCTGTTGGTGGTGGGGCCACTAGTGCCCAAATTGATCCGCCTCCAACAAGCTCGCGTTCATTTCCTACCTCTGTGTCCACATCGTTTCCAACCGCGATATCTGGATCCACGCAACTTCCAGTTGGTTTACCACTCCTTTTCCCTGCTCCTTCAAATGCTGTTTCGAGCAACTCTGTAAGTTCGTTGATCGCGTACATGAATCTGCTTGCATGAATTTTGAACAAAAGTATCGTTATTCAGGATAAAGCATACTGCGGTCTATAATCTTATCTTCATTGGTGTTTTTCCTGAGGGTTTAAACTTTTGTTAAGGCGTAGCTTTGCTTTGGTGTTAGGTAGCTTTGCTGTCATCCGGCTCAGTACCACGCCTAACCCAGAAGTAAGTCGTTGGGTGTTTGGGAATACCTCAAACAAGAACTCGCTGTCGTATCGAATCCAGCTCACTAGGCTTCGTTGGTTAGGACACGTTTTGCGTATGTCCGACAGTCGCTTACCGCAGCGCGCCTTATTCACAGTGGCCAATCCGAGAAAGCCACGTGAAGACGAGGTATGAAGAAATGCACAGAGCGATTAGATAGAGTAGTTGTCTCTCGGCTTCCGGGTTGGGGTACAAGAGACTCCAAAACCGCATGGTTGGAGACACTAAAGATCATGGCCGCCAACCGACAGCAATAACGATCAATCTGTCACTTCTTATTAGACCAGGATGCTTCAAATAGTATGTATGCACAGCTGGACTGTTTACTCTGTGTTGACCATAGAGATTCACTTTCTTTTCCCGTTCCTAAGAATAGGTCCAATCCCTGTCCTCCTTACACATTCTCACTTACCTTGTATGCAGTATGAGTATGGCAGCGATCAGCGAAGTTCGCTTCGCTTTATTACGCTGTATAATGATGATGTTGATAATAACCTAACGGGGCCTTATCTGGTTCGCCACTCCAAGTCCCGGGGCTTAGGTCACCGGTTTCCACCACTGAATGGCAGATCCTGGTGACTATGCGGTTCGCCCTGTCTGCTGTTCATCACACTCGGATGTGCAATTAAAAAAATAGAAACTTCCGGAAGGCTAGCAAACGCAAGCAGGCGCATCAGGCGATCAGCGTGCACACTAAATAATGTGACAACTAGAGACCAAAAGGTTCCTGATCGTAATAGGCTGACTACAATTGAACCATAATGCTACACTGATACACTCAGTTGCGGTTCACCTCGTCGATTGCTCGTGCACTAAGGCGCAAATGTAGTAACTTGTGGTTGTTGGGAAAATAGAAGTGAATCACAAACCTTCCATTAAATGCATGTTCACTGTAAACAAAACAAGTGACATATTTTGTCGTAATACCGAGTATTTCTGCTCCTCACTGAAAGCACTTCATTGATCCTTTCTATCATTTGATTCGTAAATGTGACCAACATAGCATTCCATGTGCACTATTTCATCAGTCCAAGCTGTGTAACACTAGCATTCTCAATATTGCTCGAGATTGCGTACACATCTTTGGGGGGGGGGGAGCNGGGGGAGCAGGAGGGGGCGGGTATTGTTATTAGCCCTATGTTCGAGAGGACTTAGATAAACAAACTGTAGCAATACATAAAATTTCAAATCAAACAGCTGGTCTATTTGTGCCTGCTATTTCCTAGAGCGTTTTTCACCTCACACTTCATGGAAGCATTCTACTACTTGGACTTCAATTTTTGCTGAAAATTATCCCGTGGGATTAATTTCTTTTTTATGGATTTACACCTAGTTACCATTCCATGGATATTTTGCGTAAGTTTTAGTTAGAATTTATATGGTCGCACTTCACACATTCCTGAAATAATAAGGTTTGTATCTGGATACTGAGATGATTTGACACCTCCAAACTATTGCTTTCCCACAAAGGATGACACCCCTTAAGCATTTGGAGCAAATAGGCTTCATGAGAATCGTACATGAACGAAAAAGTATCAAGTTTACCAGACCAGGAACTCTCTGGACCACAATCGAGACCACTACTGACATTCACTCGCTAACCATCAATGCACATTTGCGCTATCGCCCAGTGTTGCTTATCGGAATCGGATTCACTGTGAACGTCAATCACATCGTGTCTTATGTACCTCAGAGACAGTAGTCATTCTTCTGGCTTTACTTGGTCTTAATGCACCTGTTTTCTGTCAGCATCTCCTAACTCGATAAATCGAAAATAGGGCTTTTTATCACAAACCCTGATTCAATGTGTAGGTCAGATTGCATTTATTTTCATCGTAAAAAGTATTTGAATTCCTTTTCTGGTTACATTCACGTGTTCTCTCTGTTTGATTGAGATTTAAAATTCAAGCTCTTGTTCAAATTTCGTCGTTTTCGGGACACTCAGATTTCGGTCAAATAACTCATCGCATGATCTTTCGTTCGGCAGTTTTGTGAATTGCATCGCTTGTCTCTCCATATGTTATCGCGTTGTGGTAATTCACTCTCAGCGAATAAATCCAAACGTTGGCTCGCTGCTTCCAGGTATCAAATTATTGGAAATACCCAACCTCCCCTAATTAGTATCCTTGTCGCTTGTTGTTGGTCATTAGAGTATTTTTGTTCTGAATAGTCACATTTGTTCTGTTATTCGTTCACCTTAGGCTAACACTACAAAGACATCCGCCACGGCATCCACACGACCGGGAACGTTACCTTCAAACGCAACTTTCATCCAGGGTCTCCCCTCATTGACTCCCACGGTTTCGGTGTTAAATGCGAGCTCACTGCTTTTCGGAGATGGAGACACAACTCTGGGTACTCTGTTGGACCCAAGTGTGTCGAACCAGTCCGCCATCTCGGCCATGAGTCAAGATACTTTAGCCTCTTTATTGAACACTATCTGTCACAC